GGGCAGCCAAAAAGAGGCATCCCACGCGCGGCCGGAGGACGCGTTTGCAGCCGAGGGGGGGGCCGAGGGGGCAGCCCCCCGCCGGCCGCCTCTGCCCCCAGCCACGCTGCCAGCCGGGCCGGGGAGCTCGCTGGGATGAAAACTAATCACTCTCCCAGTGTTAGCTTTCAGCTGGAGCGGGTCCCCAGTCCGGCCGAGCGCGGGGCGGTACGAGGGGCAGGCGCCAAGGCAGGGAGGGAGGCGGTGGGACTGCCTGAGCAGGGCAGGGAGGGCAGCATGACCCCCGCTCCGACTCGGATCGCCATAAGCTGACCCTGAGACCACGTCCCCAAAGCGTCTCCCAGGATGGTTCCAGGAAATCCCCTCTGTCACGGGAAGCGCTCCGAGCAGCACGGACCCGATCCCCAATTCGTCCTTTCCTTCCTACCCTAGCAGGCAATCCAGGTTACCCTGACTATGAGAGGATTACATTTCATTTCCGAGAACAGGCCGAGAGGAAGCAGGAGGATATTTTAGCTTCCAAGACAAACAGCCGTTCCCGTGCTGCTGAACTGAACGGATCTAACGTGTTGGGCTGGGGCGTGATGGTGAGGAGCAAGGGGAAGACCTTTGTCCTTCACTCAACCACTGCAGATACCTGTCAGGACTGGACTGCCTCGTGTTTCAGTCCCCGCGTGAAGCTAGCGACAACCTGAAGGATCTCGACGTGATATTTAATCCTCTTCTATAGGTCATTGTCTTCAGAAACACCGAACAGTTTACCAAGCAGCACAACCATTTAATAATAGCACGTGACTATTGAATTTAATAAGCTGAAAGCAAGTCTTGTTATATCTACCCCAAAAGAGTATCTTCAAAGTGTAACAAGGAAGAAACTGGAACCATCAGTCAGTAATATTATCACTCTTTTCTCACAGCCGGAGCTGCATCCATCAGATGCACTGCAGAAAACAAGGAGAACAAAGCTAATCAAATACCACCACCTTTCTTCCTCCCCATTATTGCCTCTCCTAAGATTGACCACATTTGTGGTTAAATGCAGGGAGTCAAACTTCCTATAAGCAGTGTCGTTACGGTTCCAGATTTCCACTGTGGTTCAGCCGTATCACAGCTCTGGAAACGCATACTGGCATATGTTCAAACCACTGCCTTCACTCATTAAGGTGAAAAAATTCCATATTGTGACTGTAAAAGGTTCTTACCCAAATCACCTTGCTGGCCTGCCGCCTTAAAGATCTTAACACGGAGCTTAAAAAAAAAATTTTTTTTAAATCACTTTGTTGAAATTGGTAGTCTGGATAAAAACACTTAGTGAAGGGACTGATGCGATTTCACCATGCCAGGGGAGATGCAAGCAGCTAATTAAACTGGAGAAGCAGAAGCCCAGCTCCTCAGGATCTCCAGGGCACACCTCGTTCCACTGCCTCTGAGGACTCCTGCTCAGCCCCCACAAGCCCCAAGGCTGTGTATATATATATATATATGTATCTCCTGTCTTTTTGTCTGAGCAATCCAAAGCCTTCATCAGTTCTTCCGCAATTTGAAGCTCACGTCACTGAGATCAATAGTCCAACCTCAGCCGTAGCCAAGATGGTAGATGCAGCTGCTGACCTGGTGGCAGGACGAGCAACTTGTCCCCTCAGAAAGCAAGTCTGAAGACAACACAATCTCCACAAACTCACAGGTAACTCCAAGCATCTGCTGGTAAGTGTAGCTCCTCACAACAACAGAAGCTCCTAAGCCTGTCTTTAAAAAAGGATCAGTTCATTGCAAAATGGACAGAGTGAAGCATGCTGGGTTTTGGACCCTTTTTCTGAATAGAAAAATCAAATCAGAGTACTACAACCATGTGACGGTAGTCAAAGTAGACCTAAGAAAATCAAAGTTTCAACTCCACCTCTGAAAGCAATAGGAAGCTAAGTGAAAGCTGAAGTTTCTCCACTCTACACAGTTACACACAAGAACAAGAAAGCAACTAGTCATGGCCCTGATCACTATTACTATCCAAAAAATTCCAGTCTTACGTGCATAGGGTGCAGATGCACAAACAGGTGGACTTCTAGTGACACATGCATAAATATCTCCCCCATGTAAGTGTGCCGCTCCAGCAGTCCTGACCTGCACACCCACCTCCGTTCAAACTAACACACTTACTAAGTTACACCCCACATTTTTCCTCAGAGGAGAGCGGACTGTGTACCTTCCCACACTCTTAATTCCAGATACTCTTTTAATTCAAGGCTCTAGCTGGGAAGATCACTGCACCTGCTGCATGCTGGGGCTCCTGTCCATGCAGTCATGGAGGGGCACTCAAACACAAGGCAGAGCGAGAAGGAGGACAAAAAGCATCATCTCTGGTGTTCAGGGAGAAGCGAAATACTTGCAGAAGGTGTTCAGCATTACTTTGCAGCAGAAGGAACAATACGTTTTTGTACAATTTGCACAACATTAACCAAAGGGTCTGGGGCTGAATCCAGACAAAGTATCCAACACCAGTTTTTCAGAAGGAAAGCAAACCCTCCAGGAGCATTACAGCTGCTGGCAGGCAGGCTGTGCCTAATCTTCTAGAATGCCATGCCTAATCTTCTAGCATGCCACGCTTGCACAATCAGTGAAAGAGACAGGGCTGCCCTGGTGGACAAGTCCGTTTGCTGGGATCTTTATGCTGACCCTCTTGTGTCATTGCACTATTATGCAAAGTTCAAGAAGTTTAAAACTGTTCCAGATCTGTTGGCTTTTTCCATTTCGACAAGGCATCGCCATTGAACAAGTCAATAGGCAAGCTCAAGTATCTGATATTTTTAGCTAGATATACTATAGCATCTCACAGGTGCTTAGAGCTTTCTCCCTGCAAGGTCTTAAGGAGATTCCTCCCTTCTCAACTGCCAGTTGAGCAGAGTTTGGGGGCTGCTCTTCACACGCTGAGGCAACCGAGCTCTTCAAATGGCTGGGAAAGCCATGTTTCTCCACTTCAAATGAAGTACTAGCAACAGATAAAATGCCTGTCTGGTACAACTGGTGCTGCTTCCCCCCGTTGGAGGAAGTAGAGAAATGTGTTCAAAGTGGCACTGAGGCCATCAAAAGAACTAAAGGGTAGACAAGAAAACAGAACTAGACAAATCTGAAGGGGAGAATAAAAAGGCTGAAATTCTGATCCTTTCTTACTGAACACAGAATGATTTGATAACTCCTGAAATACCTGATTTTGGCCTTAAAGAGAGAGTCTGTCTTAGTGTCTGCATTGCAGATGAGAACAATTCCATTTTTGCTTGCTCTGACATATTGCTAAATTGATTATTCTCCAGGACTGGAAAAGAGGGAGAAAGGAGGGAGATGGTAATCACCGTTATAAAATTCTTTAAGGTGAAAGAAGTGAATGCATCTTACTTTTCCTAGCAACCCTCTTTGCTAATTCTGAAGCAAATAAATCACACTAAGGATAGTATCCTGAACATATGGCTTTCTCTGAATAAGGGGAATTTGCCTGCCTCCGAGCTTGCTTTTCTCTTCCTTTTTTTTTTTTAAATTTAATTAAATATGTCAGTCTCTGGAATCCCCTACACATTCCCTTTCACAGCAAAGTGGGTTTCTGTCCCGCCCCCCCCAAAAAACCACAAAAAAGCTTTATAAGTATTAACTTATTTCTGTCCACAGAAGGCTGTACCTAAGCTTAATGTCTAGCCAACAGCACGCAACCTGTTCACTAGTGTTGCATTCACTTCCCACATATTCAACAAAAGCATGATGTTACCAACACGAGAAAAGGGAAGGACTTCAGCACCCCAAGGCCAGCAGCAACATGAAGACAATCTTTAGAGAACGGGTCACAAGCAAACAATGTTGGAGGCCTCCAAATCATCTTGCACCTTTCCTGTAAACACCTACAAAGCACATGGCTCCAAGTACAGCAACTCATGGGATGTGTTTTTATTTTGCCATTTCCTTCTCCGTGCACAAAGCACCCTGCGTTGCATGGTCTGGACTTTGTACACTCCCCTGTCTCTCTGTGGAGCAGCTGAAGCAGAGGACCACCGGGAGGGACGCTGCTAACCTCTAGATCTGGAAGACCCTTCCTGCAGGGCCCTTGCAGGCTCTCGGTTGAATGAAGCGGTTTTTGCGAGGGCCCTGAGAAGGGGGAAATACCCCCTGAAGCTCCTCACTCCCCTGCCTGCAATCCAAGAAGGCAGCTGGTAGCAGCACGCAGAAGACGGTCGCAGAGAAGCTTGCCAACAGGAATGAAAGGGTAACGAGGATGCCAAAAGGCAATGGTCTGCATTTTTCTTTTGTAACAAATAAAAACAAGCAACAAAAATGTGACTAGCAATGGAAATCAGAAAGAAAATTGAAGTGATTTTATAGAAAGTAGTGTGAACCAAAGTCATACCAAAAGCCACCTGAATTTTTCTCTATCATATGCAATTTCCCATGTTCATTTATGTCATCTTCGCAGTGTCAATTTTCGAGAGAACAATTCTCAGCTCAGCACGACAGAACAGTAATACCGACGGGTATGCAGAACATTAGCATGTTATAAATAAACTGCTAATTTGAGGTGGGAAAAATCATCAAGGCAGCTCTTACGATTAAGAAAGAAAATGAGCAACTCGCTTATGCTTTCAGGACACTGTCTTTTACAAAAAGAGCTTTTTCTAACACCCAGTTCCTGAGGGAAAAAGAGAATAAACCCAGTGAAATACCCACTGTCCAGACAAAGCAGCCGGTGAAAATGCTATTATAATTTTTAAAGCCCTCCCTGCCCCCACCTCAAGTAGTAAGTTGTCTTTTCTACCGGCTCAAGAGGTTTGTGCTTAAAAAGAGTACTACAGCAGAGTTGTGAAGTTTCGGCTTCCTCTCACCCGACTCACAGTTTTACATAACTCTCAAGAGACATTTTTAGGTTACAGATACTGCGCAGCCGAAACAAAAAAAGGACGAGATGCAGAACTATTATACAGCAATTTGGATCTGGGTTACTTGGAGCCACTCGATAAAAGTCTTACCATGAAAAGTAAAACTTTATTCCGCTGAGCCGACGGCCAAGATTATTCGTGCTTGCGATAGCCCTGATCACCACCCTCCGTCTGCCCCGCGCGGGGTTCCCTTCCCACCCTGTCCCCGGTCTGCGAGGACAGATAACGCCCCACCGCCGCATGACTGCCACCTCGGGTATTATTTCTGTACCACTCCAGCATTGTCGCTCTTTACCAGCATGCCACTTACTAAGCATTATTATAAAAATTTCTGCGAATATCTATGTTCGCCACGAGCGGGGATAATGGCCTCATTGCAATAGCCTTGATAAAAGCTCCAACAAGACAGCTTTCAGATATCGCCACACAAAAGCCTTCTGTGAGAGCTGTAACCAACATCAATTCCCGCTATGCGAAGACATTAGACAAAGTGTGAACTAGCTTACTGTACGGGGACAAAAAACTGTCAATGTGTGGGACCAACGCTGTCTAAAAACACAACACTGGCAAGGCAAAATAACACCAGCATATATACATGGTAATTGCCATTTAATTCCAGAGTTAGCAGCACAAGAAAACAAGTACTGAAGGCACTATTAGGTTACTAGCATCACTCAGGACATTATAATTCCATATAATGGCATTTCTAGTGTCTCTGGTTGGAAAAACGACTTTAAAACCGGCAGATATTAGAAGAGCCCAAGCAGAGGGCGAAGTAAAGCCCAGTTTCCATTACAGAACCAGCCAGAGAACACAGCAAACCCTTCAGACCTGCTCCTTAAAGCACGTATTTTCCAGCACATGGTAGACAACCCGATACACACAAACCACCATTCCACCTACGATACAAGACAAAACCCCTTCTGCACATCATTTTGTATTTTTACATACTTATCTACTTACACTGTGGTAGCACCCAAGAAGCCACAAGACTACTGTTAACATAAATGGACTGTACCAACATAAATGCCAGGCCAAGAGGTTACTTTTTTACTTCCAGACCTGAAATTTGCCAGACGACACCTCTTAAATGGGAGTCTCAGTAGAAGGGATGCAAGCAAGTCTGCATGCCAGTTTGTTGCTGAACAACATGCAAGGCAAATTTGAAAGCTAAGTTTTATAGCGAGCATAACACACTCACTCTATGGAGAAGTGCTTCACTCTAAAATTACATCTGTACTTTTAAGATGTGTAAAAATCATGAAATCCTACAGTGCAGATTCAGTGGCTTGCAGAAGAAAAATTTATCTGTTACTGCACTCCAATTTTAGTAAGATTTTGTAACTAACGTGTAGAACCAAAATGAAGAGAAAGTCTTATTTAGAGAGAACTAGTAGAGTGGATCGATAAGCCTGACATGATATATAAGAATTTGACTTTTGCACCGCATGGTGACAGCCACCATTGAGACCTAAACCAGAGACTTTTAACATCACCTTAATTAACAAGGAAGGAAGTTTGCCAATGAGTTTCTTCCCCACCCCGCTTTCTAGCAGCAAGTTATGCAATACGCAACAACCTTTGAACCAACAGCTATACAACAACCAAAAAAAAATACCCCCCACAAAAAAAAACCCAACAGAATACCATTGTAAAAAGAAAGTCTTTCAAGAAGTTCATTAATGAAAATTACTTCTAGAATCTATGCATATATTAACCAATACACACATACCACAACTTGTAGCAGGAATGCTGGAGCTGAAGCAGCCAAGGCTAAGCAGACACCTCTTGTACTGGGAAACTAGATAACAATTTAATTTTACCAAAAATAGTTGTTTAGATACTTTCTATGAGTTTTCACACATCTTTGCAAAACAACTAGTGGCTTGCAATGTCTGTGTGATGAGACTGTAAGATCCCGTTGTAAAGATGTAGAAATGAAAGCCAAAATAATAGCAGCCTCTGCTTTAACAGTGGCTTGTCCCTATAAAACTCAAGATACCAAGAATGCAACATCTGCAGTACTGCAGCTGAACATCACAGGAAGCACCCAGTATCTTCCTAAAAAGCAACTCCTAGGTCCCTGAAGTCCTTGAAAATGCCGTCAATCTTAGGTAGTGGTCACTTCTGGGCCTAGATGCAGCCACATACGAGTTGGATGAAGTCTTGAAAGTAGACGCAGGTAATCAAATTAAGTCTCCTACTTAAAACGAAGTGACGAAACAGGATATGGGTTTTACTTCTAGAGGCCGGTTATTGACATCCCTGTGGAATAAATGAAAGCCACACTTGCCCCCCTAACTCAGTGCAGTCACAGAAAAGATGCTTGGCTGATAGTGAAAAGGTGATCTTCAACGCTCCACCTTTCCTTCCTAGCTTGGTCCTAGGCAAAAGACCTTGGGTACAAAAGCCTGAAAGCTGCAGGGCATGCACATGCAGTGCTGACAGAGTTAGCGTGTTACTTTTCACACTGTAACAGTTCAGCAACTGCTCACATGCCTAAGTAGGACAGGAGAGACACAAGACACGCCATTAACCTTAGGCAAGTTCAGTTTGCAAACAGTTACCAACACATTTGAGATGTATTCATATATGTATAAAAGGAAGGCTAAAACGCATGATGTAGAACACTCCTACCACATAGCAGAGGCCATTTTCAGTACGCTCCAGCTTCATCAACACCCAAACTCTTTGTCTTCTCCCTTTACAGGGCTTGCAGATGGAAATATTTACCACAGCTCACGCTGAGCCCACAAGGCATTAAGAACTCCACGGACACCACGAGATCCAGCAAATAGCAGCACCATCCAAGCAGACAGCACAGTACTTCAAGAGACACCCATGCCAGGCATAGCACTTCCAAGCGTGGTTTTGGACCAACTTACTTGAGGAAAACAGAAGTGAAATAGTTCCCTTTTAAAGATGTGATAAATTGGGCAATTTTGCCAAGTCTGTCTTCAAACAGAACTGAAATTGAAACCGAGTCCAAATACCTCATCAGCAGCACCTCAAGCAGGGCAGCCTCCCTCCCACCACCCCGGGGAACCCGAAGGGGGTTTCTCCTCCCGGCAGCAGCAAACCCGACTCTGCTCTTGAAAAACAATGCGGGAAGCGATTAACTCTGCCAGCCAAAACAAAAGCCTGAAGCCCAACTTACTCATTTGCGAGGATGAGAGTTGCCACCATACATACACACGCAGCGCTGCCAGCTGTAAATGAGATTATTTGCAGAGACTGTAAAACCTGGAGATTTAGTTACTCTAAGAAGAGGTTTCCATCTGCCGAAGCCTCGCTCTGGGCAGGGCTGGATCTCCGTTACCGCCGTGGGTGCACGAAGCCCACCCGAACCCCCGTCGCCGTCTCCAACCCACCCTTGGCGGGCAGCTCCTCCACAAGGCAGGCCTAAGGCCCCAGCCACCCTCCCACCCCACCGGGACAGAAGCAAAGCCTGAAGGTTTGAAAGGCATCGTGCTCGAAGCTACTGAGAAAAGCTCCCATCTTCGTTTCTCCCCCGGTCCCCCTCTGGGGGCTCTGGGCAGAAGGGGTGGGCCGCGTTCCCCTCCCACAGCCGCACCACAGCGACCGGCCTGCGCGGATGGACGCTCCGAAGAGGAACGGCGCTACTTCGTTTTCCTTTTTCCAACCTACGCTCTGTAACGAGCCGTTCCCGCAGTAGTCCAGCACGCTCATCCCCATGATCCATACCTCCCGTTCCCCCCCCCAGGGCCAGGTTAAGACCTCGTGAAACAAGCTGGCTCTGAAAGGGTCTCTGGCTCCTGCTAGGCCTGCAAAGTGGGTCTACCACGTCTTCAAGACGTCTTTCAAAGCTGCCGATCGTGAAAACTCACAACTAACAGACAGGCTTGTTTTCACACCCGTGGGGTTCTTTTATAAAAGGAGGCCTTCATTTTAGTGTTAACGGCTTTCATTTCAGGAGAAATTAAATGGTCTAGCACTCTTCAGCTTGGAGAGGACAACGGACAACAGAAGATAACGTATCATAAACTGTGTAGAGAAGCATATATAAGAAAATCATTTTCCCCTATCACAGTATCTAGGATCACCCAATAACACTATAGACAGTAAGTTCAAAATGAAAATTAAAAAAAAAAGAAAAAGGCAGAAACAAAATTATTTTTTCTTCCATATGAGATAACTTAATCATAGATAGAACTCGTTGCTACATAAGGTCAGAACTACAACTAGATTCAAACAGGGATTAGACAAAAAACACAGGCCACAGGTAGCTGTAAAACTCACTCTAAGCCCTGACCAAGCAAGTGCTCTCTCAAAGCAAGTAGAAGGGCTGTCCTGTGCAAGCCCTCTTCTTGTGTTCCTTCCTCAAACGTTTGCCACAGTCATCGTCAGAGAAGTAGTGGGTGAACCTTTCATCTTGCAAAATACAGCTGTGCCTAAGTTTAAAGATTCCTTTTTTTTAAATGCTTGCACATACTCACGAATGAGCACACTAATAGAGCAGCACCAACATACCTGGGATAAAACAAGGGGAAAGAAAATGCCTTTAATTGCTCAATCAGTTGAAGCAGCCTCCACAGAAGAATAAACTGGCCGTAAAGTGACCCATATCCAGCCTTTGGCAAGCAGTCTGGTGGCACAAGGAAGATACACCTTCATGGTGAGAACAGGCAAAGCTAACTTCGGAAAACTGAGGCTCGGTGAGCCAATTTAACACCTCAACACCACTGCGTGGCAAAGCTCCCATCTCCTTCCTTCATCTCGCTCACCCCATCTTGGGCCACATATGCCCAATACCTACCGCATGCCAGCCCCAACGCTCGTCAGACCCAGCTATCTCACCTCATTAAAGCAGCAGAAAACCACCCCCCCCGGCAGCTGGATGCTCCCCAAGCACAGAGGTAGGGGAAGAGTGCTGCCTGGCCAGGGGCAGAGCAAAGGAGACGGTGAAGGAGAAGCAAGCCGACTCCTTCCAGCAACAGTAAAGCCTCTGAGTGTCTCAGCTGCTCATGGAAACGTGCCAGCATCCCTTATCATCGTGAGGCTACCATACTTCAGCAGTTCTGGTGCAGACGGAGCCACACCAGCATTGCCGGACCCTGTATGAGGATAGCGAAGCCGCCGTCAGCAAGCACAGCAACCTACAGGCTATTCCTGTACCATTTTATTAGGATGCCTGCTTTCCACTAGATGCTTGTTGGCA